CTAAAGTCCTTGTATGGGCGCAGGTTCTAATCCTGGCACCCCCGCTTCCCATCCAGCTCCCTGTTTGTGACCTGGGAAGGCAGTTGAGGATGGCCCAGTGCCTTTGGTCCTTGCACCCTAGTGGGAGACTCAGAAGAAGCTCCTGGCTGCAGATCGCCTCAGCTCTGACCATTGTGGTCACTTGGGGAGTGAATTGTTGGATAGAAACTCTTCATCTCTGTCTTTCTTCCTCTTCGTATATCTGACTCTCCAATAAAAACAAGTAAGTCTTTTAAAAAAAAGAAGGCATAAACTCTGGCAAGCCTCAGCCAGTACCACCTAGAGGGCAGTGTCTGCATTCCCCTCCCCTCCTTCACCAAGAGCCCTGGACCATAGGGGTAAGCAAGGGCATCATGCTTTGTTCTGTTCACGCCCTACCGTCATAATCTCCCTCTTGCAGAACCCTGGGGCAGTGAGGGTCACACTCAGCTATGCTCCTCCCTGAAATGTTTTACCCCTGCAGAACGCTGGGGCAGTGGGGGTCACTTAGTTCTGCTTCCATGGCTCTGCCCACAGCACCTCAGGAGGTTCTGATGCAGCCTTCATTTGTTTCCATGGAGACAGGGAGCTCTGCTTTTCTCCAAACCTAAGCGGACACTTTCATCAAATCCATTTCCCTGAGACAATCATGACTGCAACTCCAGCTCCTCCTGTACATCCTTGGTAAGCACTCACAGGGCCTGTGACTCTGGGACCATGTCTCAGTAAGCCCCACATGTCTCGTGTTCTGGACCCCAGTGTGCCACGTGCCCCTCCTTCATAAATATGCCTATATGCCTTACACTCTGAATGTCAAGTGGGCTGTGTCCCTCTCTAGGCCTCCTCCCCAGCCCTGCTCCAGGTTAGCCTGGCCCACTCACCCTGATGGAGGGAATAGGAATCTGGCCCCTGGGGCACAATTCCAGAAGTGTGTGTGTGTGTGTGTGTGTGTGTTTGGAGGGGGGGTGGCAGTCTCAGAGCACAAACCCCTCCCCGAGCAGAAAGCTCACATGCTTGGAGAAAGCTGGGCACCAGCCACATAGGGAAGAGCCCAGGGCTTCCTGTTCTGCACATATCAGTGAAACTCTAATGTGTTGGGCATCTGGACATGAAACAGAACCAGGGACCAGACAAGGTTAAGCCTGGGAGGCCTGAATAGTTACCACTCCTCAGAATGTCAGACTGCTTTACACCAGCTGTTACCAGCTGCAGCTGCTGCTCCCAGGCTGCTTAGGGGGTATGGCCACCCCAGATCAATAAGGCCCCAGCCTGAGGGTGCCCCACAACCCTCTGTCCTCCAGCACCCACAGGCAGCTCTGCAGGTAGAGGAGTATACACCAGCATCACCAGGGCTTGGCCTCTGCGTCCACATGTGTGACAAGAGTAAAACTGAGATGGGAGCTGCCCCACTCAACACAGGGGTGCAATTTTCTTTCACCTTTCACCCACAACTCACTGCTCAGCCCGTGCTCCTGCACAGTGCATCATGATGTATTCCCACCAAAGAAGGACACGGGGGTAGGAGTCCTGATTCCAGACCAGAGAGGGTGTGAGGTTGGGATGAAGCAGGCCCCATCAGGATGCACCATGCACACTCCAGTCCTGGCCCCAAGCCTCAACTGGGACCTCAAAGTTATGCCTTCAAGGGCTGCCTTCTGGCTTTGTCTTGGGCCTAGCATAATGGCTCAATGGCTAAATCCTTACACCTTGTAAGCACCAGTATTCCATGGTACTGGTTTATGTCCTAGCTCCTCCACTTCCCACCTAGCTCCCTGAGTAAGCAGTAGAGGACGGCCAAAGTCCTTGGCACCCTGCATCCACATGGAAGACCCAGAAGAAGCTCCTGACTTCTGGCTTTGGATCAGCTCAGCTTGGCCATGTGGCCATTTGGGAAGTGAACCAGAGGATGGAAAGATCTTCCTCACTGTCCCTCATTCTCTCTGTAAATCCAATCTGCCTTTCCAATAAAAATAAATAAATCTTAAAAAACGTGTCTTGAATATTCAAAGCTGAAACTGGGACATGGGAATGAGCATAGACAGAAGCCTCCCTTGGGAGGCAGCAACAGGAAATGCCTGTGGGCAGGCCCGCTGCAGGGAGGAGTGGTCCAGAGGCAGACGCTGGTACTGGGGCTCCCTACGGGGCAGCCTGCAGGCCCATGGCTGCCACCACCATCACTCCACATATGTCTTTCACATCTCCGAGAGGCTGGCTCCTCCCTGCTCTGTCCTGACTTCTCCACTGCTGACCACCCACCCCCTCCCAACACATATACTCTTCTCAGTACATGCCGTCTTGCACATTTTTACTGAGTATTACATTATACTCTATTCCCAGTAACACATGCAGAGTCAGCCAGTCCCAGGAGATTCATGGTAGATGACTCACAGCCCATATCTCCTCTACCAGCCTGAGGTTACCTGGGCTACCACGTACAACTGGCTCTGTTTATTCTGGTGCTCACTTCCACAGCCCCCAATTCAAACTTAATCCACAGAATTTCTGGTCTCTCAGTCCCAGACACTGCCTGAGGTCCTGGTGACTGGGCACTGTGACCTCCCCTCTGAGGCAGGCAGGCAGGCTGGTTGGAAGGCAGATGCCAAGTGCAAGGCTGTTAGTAGGCTGCCTGCAGGTCTATCATGCCGCTGATTCTTGAGTGCAACACAGTGCAGCCACAAATGCATTCTGCATCCTTGCCAGGGTTTCTCAATGCTCTGACCTGGGCACACCCCCAGGTATGGCATCAGTCCACTGTTCCCTTCAAGATAGCTTACCAGAGCTCTGTTCAATCTGGCTTTTCTCCGGCTGCAGTGCTGAGGATGACTCCTCCGTGGACCTCTGAGCACTCTGATGTTTCTATTTTATATATTTTTAGACTCATGTATTTGTTGAGTGACAAGGGGTCGGGGAGAGGCTGTGGCGATATCCTTGTGATATCCTCACCTGCCGATTCATGCCTCAGATGCTTAAAACAGTCTGGGCTGGGCCAGGCCAAGCCAATGCCAAAAGCCATGAACTCCATGAACCCAAAAACATGATCCATCTTCTACTTCTTTCCCAGGCTCATATTCACAAGAAGCTTCATGAATCGAAAGTAGAGTAGTCAGGACCCAAACCAGCACCCTAATATGAGAAATGCCAGTGTCCCCATTGATGGCTTAACTTGCTGTGCAACCATGCTGGCCCATACAATATGCTTTCTTTTTTAAGATTTGCTTGTGAAAGTCGGAGTGACAGAGAAAGCTTCATTCCACAGGTTCACATTTTTACTCCTTGCCCCAAAACACAATGGCCAGAGGTGGTCTAGGCTGAGGCTGCACCTGTTTCCCTCCACGACTCCCTAACTGGATGAGGTTTCCAGTGCATTCTTCAGAAAGGATACTGTAAACTGCTACTTAGTCGTCACAAGTCATGGCTATCTTGGTTGGGTGCATAATTCTGTATTGAAGATTCTTTTGCTTCTGGAAGTTTCAGGAACTTTCCTCCTGGTTTCCACACCTCAGTGCTGCCACGGAGACCTACCATGCCATCCTGATTCCTGAAGCTAGATGGCTGGCGAGACACATTTGGAATTCTGAATATGTAACCTTATTTGGGTCAAGGGTCTCTACATGTGGTTTTAGAAACCTGGGTTGTAACAGGAACCCTAAACCCAAGGACAGAAACCCTTGAGTGAATGAGGCAGAGGGAGCTCACATGTAGGCAAGAAGGGGCAGGCACTGCAGGCATAAGCCAGGCATCACCAGGAACCACCAGAAGCTGGACAGGAAGTAAATAGGTCTCTGAGGCCTGGGAAGGATGCAGACCCCAATGCGAGTTGCTAGGCTGTCCCAGCATGGGTGCTGAGGGGAAGGCCTGCTCCCTATTGTCAGCACAGCTGAAGAGGGCTCTTGCCAATGTAAGTGAGAACCCGTAACTCTGCAGTGTAACTCATCTCTTTAGTTGTCCATTTGACACGCCCACCTTCCTAACTGTACCAACTGCATGTGACCAGGGCACATGGCCAGATCCCATGTGGCTTTTCACCTTATTAGAACACCACTACTTTCCTTATAAAGAGTGGTGGAAGGTGGGGGACAGCTCTCAGCTTATTCAGTTCCCTCTGTCACTCTCATGTACTGGATCTCTATGGTCCACTCACGTCAGGCAGCAATCTGTGTGGAACGGCACACCCACATGTGTGGTGTGTGTTCATTCACTGATAAATAAGCTCTGTTCCTATCTGTACACAGTGCCTGTCTCCCCTTGGTTTCTATCCGCAGGAGACAAAACCTGAACTGGAAATTAACATACCCATCGCCCACGTAACTGACTTCCGTGCCTGTGTTCTGAGATTGAGGCAGGCAGGGGCCACCCTGAACACCCCATCGAGGACTCCACTCGCACTTGGCTCCCACTGCCACATACTCAGCATGGCCATTCTGCAGGGAGTCTCAGCACTTCCCAGAACCCCAAGCTCTCCCGCCCTTGTCCATCAGCTCTTCTTCCATCTGTTGTTCCCAATGCCCACCGTTCACTGTTTGCTGACAGAATCTCCATGCCGTGTGTCTAATGTCCTCACTGTCCTCCAGGAAGGCTGTGTTTGTTGTGGGCAGGATGTGTGGGTGACACCCACAACCACTCCTCGCTACACTTGGTACTGAGCACCTGCAGGCTGGTGCCAGCTGACATGGCTGTGGTTTGGGGTAGGTCTGGCCCTGGCGAATCTGCCTTTTGTTTACTCTCTGTCCTCAGCAACGAAACAGGCTCCTACAGACAGCCCTGTGGCCACAGCACCACTGACTGGAGACAGAGTGGACAAGCAGATCCTCATCCACAAGGACTTCTGATTCCCAAGAATGACAAAGGTAACAAGGACTGCAGCTCACTGCTGTATCCCCACACTTGGGGGCAGTGCCAAACATTCAGAGCTCCACAACAAATGGCTCCTGTCTCAGAACTGGATGGGGCACATAAAGATCAAAGGGCAAAGCCCAGCTTACCCAGAGAGCACTCCAAGGACCAGGTTGAGCACAAAGAAGGATCCGATGATGATGAGAGGGATGAAGTACAGCCAGTTCCAGGTAGCTCCTAAGGCATCGTTGGTCTGCAAGAAGAAGCACAGTCTCCTGAAGTCTGCCAGCCATTGGGGGAAGCCAGGCGCCTTCCTGCCACTCACACAGGGCCAAGCACAGTTTGGGGCTAGTGTCCAGGTGCAGTAGGCTTAAGCTCTGTCTGGGAGGCCAGTATTTCTGCTGCAGGGTCAGTTCAGGCCACAGCTGCTCCACTTCCCTACCAGCTCCCTGTCACTGGGCCCCTGCTCCAGCCTGGCCCAGCCCTGGCTATTGTGGCTATTTAGGGAGTAAACCAGTACACAGAAGACACTTATTTCACTCTGGGGTGTCTCTACCTGTCCATCACTCTCTCTCTCTGCCCCAGTCTGTGGGCACTGTCTGAACCATATAGACTTGGAGTCTTCTGGAATTCTCACCTCACATGTGAAACCCTTTTCCAAGACCACATAAGTGCTTTCTGACTTCACAACACTTGATGACATGGTTTAACCTTTTCACTTGAACCAGAGAAACTGTCAGGAAGACAAAGACCAAGCGTGTGAGTCACTTGTGCTTGCCACGAGTCCGCACCATCTGCAACTTGCCCAGCCTCGGTGTCACAGAAAAACAGATCTGGCCCAAGCCTGGCCTCAGCAATGCTTTGGACAGTCAGAGGACAAGTGACAGAGAAACACACAGGAATGCATGTTCTGAATTCACCCACCATAGGCCACACACATGGCCCATGGATGACGGGGACAAGGCATGTCACATGCACCAAGAGATGGCTGCTCCCACAGGCCCTCATAAGCAGGACCCTTTGAAAAGTTCTCCCACCATGCTGGGCTCTTAGCTGAGACTACCTGTACAGTTCACCCTGCCCTGCCCTGCCCTGCCCCACTTCTCCAAATGGCCTTCCTGGGCCACATTTCGCACACAGGTTTTTTTTTTTTAAACATTTATTTTTATTATTATTATTTTTTTTATTGGAAAGGCGGATATACAGAGAAGAAGATCTTCCGTCCGATGATTCACTCCCCAAGTGAGCGCAACGGCCGATGCTATGCCGATCCGAAGCCAGGAGCCTCTTCCGGGTCTCCCACGCGGGTGCAAGGTCCCAAAGCTTTGGGCTGTCCTCGACTGCTTTCCCGGGCCACAGGCAGGGAGCTGGAAGGGAAGCGGGGCTGCCGGGATAGAACCAGCGCCCATATGGGATCCCGGGCGTGCAAGGTGAGAACCTTAACCACTGCGCCGGGCCCCGCACACAGGTTTTTGACATCCCAGCCTGTCCTCACTCACTAACTCTAATTCTAGCTGAAACTCAAACAGCTGTTTGACCCTCATTCCCCGGGGATACAGGCCATCAAGCTGAACACATTCCTAAGGCTCCATTGGCAAGATTAAGACCAGGACTCCAAATCCCCACAGCACCAGCTCACCTTCTGCTCCTCCCCATTGAACTGCAGAAGCTCCGCACATCCTAGAGCTCCCTGGTCCCAGCGCCACTCATTTTCTCCCAGACCATCTCACTTCCTGCCTCTTATCCATGCACTGCTGTTACCAGAGTGGTTTCTTCTGCCCAGAGCAATGGCTAAGACAAACTTTCCTCACCAGCCTCCCTACATGGCTCAGGGAGGTGCTCAAAGCAACAGGCAAACCAAAAGTGAAAAAGGAACAACTGGGGCAGGACTAGGCCCACTGTGTGGCTCTGGTTCCAGCAAGAAAGGGGTGGTGTGGGCCACAGGTCAGAGAAGGCTGCCACTTCAACGGCAGGAACCAGAGAGGGTTCCACAATGGACCCAGGGAGAGGTCTCTTCTGTGCACACTGGGCATGGAGCTGCAGAGCTGCTGGGTGCCAACTCACAACACGTGGTTAGATGCAAGCCCTGTGAGGCCTGAGCAGGGCCGGCTCTTCGGGGGACTCCCAGGTTCCTTGGCCTTTGCTTAGCCCTGTCCATCAGGGTTCTTAGTAACAGGGAGGCTGAGCAGTGCTTGGACCAGGGCTCAGAGACCACAGTTAGGACAGACCCCAGTGACTGCAGCAAGGCAGCTGTGGGGTGCATGCTCCCACCATTTTAGGGTGCTAGGGAGAAGAGCGTGGCTTTCTGGATAGTTTGCTCAGCTGTGAGTCTGGCATTTCACAAGGGGACTAGCACACATAGCTGTTCGACTAATACATGAGCAGTCACAGTTCTGAGATGATTCTCTTGTTCAAGACAGACTGAGACAATTCATCCTATGCCCCCTTTTTTATCTGTGCAGCTCCCTCCCACCCCCATTGCTGGCCAGTCAGGAGAACACAGCAGCAAAGGGAATGTGTCAGGGAGGGCAGGGCTAAACGTGAGTTCCTCACACCGTGCTCCCGGGGCAGCTGCACGGAGTCCCCTCACACCTGTCACACACCCGTCATGTGGTTCCATGCAGCCCTCCCCACTTCCTTGCCCCACATAGCTCTGTCTATGACCCAGGAGCTTATCTCCTGGGAGGTGGGCATGCAATACCCCGTCCCAGACACTGGGGCACTGACAGAAGTCAGGGTTTCTATTTCCTTGTGTTGCCTGACTGCTAAAACCTTGGAACAGCCCAGCATGGAGGCCACCACTGCAATGCCCTGAGATGTGCACCCACGACCTCATTACAGGGCCAGCGGGGAGCCAAGGGAGCTGTGCAGCCAGGAAGGGTGGGCAGATATCCCCCACGCCCCTCCTCCTCTGCCCACCATGTCACACAACCATACCAGGGCCTGGCAGAGACTCAGCTTCCAAAGCTGCTGCTGGTCCCTGGCCCCAGAGGAAAATGCTTCCTGTGGTCTCCCTTGGGGCAGCAGATAGCTATTTCTCTGCATCAGGATCCTTAGCCAGGGCCCTGGGGTTCCTGCTGCTCCCAAGACCTCCCCCACTAGGCCCTTCCTCCACCTCCACAGCAGCTGCTCTCAGCGTTCTCATGCAGATTCCTGAGCCACACGTGCATATGTGCACATGCCATGACAGACAGCAGGGTCAGGGGCGGTGGCCCACCTGACAGGCGTGTTGGTGGCACCAACCCTGGAGTGGGAGCACATTCCTCTGGGAACCTGCCTGGCGGGGGCAGAACCCACCCACGACCTGGGTAAACAGGCACACGCGGCAATTATCACATTAATCTGCAGAGGAGGTGGGGTGGGGCACAGTAGGAGGGCATTTTAGAGACAGGGCCCAAGCTCCACCAGGCACAGCCTCACAGGGCAACTCTGACCAGGGAGGCCAGGGCATGAGTGCCCGGGGCCCCTACACAAACAGATTCTCACAGCTGCTCCCTAGGCTGGCAGCGTGGTTCCCTCCACCATGGCCTAAGGGTGCTGGGGACCCAGGGACATGGTCATGGACAGTCCTGTGCTGTGACACCAGAACATTCCAGGGTATTGCCCCAAGCATGGGCTGCACTTCCTGTTAATAACGGTTCAGGATCAGCCCCAGCATAGTGGCTGCTGCAGGTGACTTAAAACAAGTCAGGCCGCATCTCAGCAAGAGCATCTCTGTCCACATTCTGTTGGCCCACACCCTCTCCCCCAGGTGAGAGAGCAGGGAGGGAGCAATAGGGCCCAGGTCTGAGTCAGCTGCTCTATGTCCTCCTGCTCCAGGCACGAACTCACCTCCCATGGCAGCCACTTCTACCCAGACCCAGGGTGATAGCTCGGATCCTTTATCTTAGACTTTAATACGTTAATGGTCCAAATAGCAAGAGAATGAGCCTTGGCCAGGGCCTGGGCAGGTGTCACAGGGGGACCCGCAGGAATGAAGTGCAGACACCTGTGCTCATGTCCTGATCACCCTAGGGCCTCCCTCATGAGCCTTCCCAGGCAGGCACCAGTGTCCCTTCCTCCTGCCAATGCACCCTCAGGGTACATCCTGTCAGCGCGCTCCTGGTGATACCCTAGGACTACCGTCTCCTCCACCCTGCTCCCACCTGGGGCTCAGCAGTCTGTGCACAGTCAGTCCTGCTCCTTCCCCAGACCTGTGTCACGCCTGTGCTGTGTGGTCACAGATCAACTCCCCTGGTCATCACCACTGACCTGCCACGCCCCAGCATCTGCCTCCAGGTGCAACTAAAGTTAGAGGAGCAGCTGCAACTAAAGCTAGAGGACAATTTCACCCTTTCTGCACTGAGTTTCCCTGATCCCCAAGTCTTACAGACTCTAAGACGCCATCCCAGGAGTCCAAGCCCAGGTCAGGCCAAGGATTCTGAATAAGGGTTCTGTGTAGTCCCCTGAGCACCCCACCTATACATTCACAATTAGGCTCCCTCAGAGGCATTCACAGAGGACATGTCATCCTAAGACATGTCATCTACCATCTGCTATCAGACTGACCTGAGCCAGGACAATCAGAAACACCCTGACATACACACAACCTGATGTGCAGGAAACCAGTGTGGGCAGCACCTAGACCTCAGGTGTGCCTAGTAAGAGGCACTATATGACTGCCCACTCCATTAGTTCCTAGATAAATACCTCCCCACTGGGCCACAACTCCCCACTGGGCCACGCCTCCTCACTGGGCCATGCCTCCCCACTGGGCCATGCCTCCCCACTGGGCCATGCCTCCCCAAAGAGCCACACCTCCCCATGGGCCACACCTCCCCTTGGGCGATGCCTGCCCACTGGGCCATGCCTCCCCACTGGGCCACGCCTCCCCATGGGCCACACCTCCCCAGGGGCCATGCCTCTCACTGGGCCAAACCTCCCCACGAGCCATCCCTCCCTTGCAGAAGGTGTGTTTCAAACATCAGTCTTACTGCCATCATCTGGGGACAGCAGGTGCTCTCCAGATATGACCACACGGGCTGCTTCTCTTGAGCCAGAATCTAATCAATCCACATGAGTCTGGGAAAAAAGGTTCATCATGGACCACGGCCCAACAACACCATTGTGCATGTGACAGCACAGCCAACACAGCATGTCAGGATGTGGATCACACAGGGGCTGCTGTGATTATCACCTCTGAACAGCAAGCCAAGCCCACATCCGAAAAGTTCTATCTGCTGCCTCGTCCTCTAGACACCTGTGGGGCTGATC